GGGTTTTTCCTACAACGTGGGGTATTTTTTTACAAAAAAAAGCAGCGAGGTGGGGACCGAAGTGAATCGTGGGGACCACTGTCAGGTGTGGGTTTAGGTTTAGGACCAAGGTTTAGGTTAGTTTTAGGGTCAGGTAAGTTTCTGTGAGGTTAATTTTAGAGTATATGGTCAGGGTTAGGCTATAAAGTCTAAAAAACATGAATGGAAGTCAATGGAAGGTCCCCAGGGGTCAAGAAACAAACACGTGTGTGTGTGTGTGTGTGGACGGGTTTTTCCTACAACGTGGGGTATTTTTTTACAAAAAAAAGCAGCGAGGTGGGGACCGAAGTGAATCGTGGGGACCACTGTCAGGTGTGGGTTTAGGTTTAGGACCAAGGTTTAGGTTAGTTTTAGGGTCAGGTAAGTTTCTGTGAGGTTAATTTTAGAGTATATGGTCAGGGTTAGGCTATAAAGTCTAAAAAACATGAATGGAAGTCAATGGAAGGTCCCCACGGGGTCGAGAAACAAACATGTGTGTGTGTGTGTGTGTGGGGGGGGGGTTCCAATCAGCAACAAAAGCTTTAATATGTTTTTCGTCCTTAAATTAAAGGCCTAGCATCTCTTGACTGCATTTCAACTTCTGCATTTGATGCCAGAGTTGTAGGCTGTGTCTGTTGGGGATGACTCTCCTCTACTACCAGATCGAATTTTATTTTATGTGTCCTGTAATGTTGATCAGTTGAAATTCAGAGGTTCGTTATTTGTAGATGTTCGCCCAACGGTTACTGTTTGAGACCTTTGTTCAAATCTGTACAGCCGATCATGAAGTATTTTGCTAACATACGGACTTGACTCCAAACAATCTATTATTTTTCCTGCCACATGCCTGTCGTTTATACACTACATCCAAAAAATGTCTCTCTGAGAGTTTCACCAACACCCATGTAGATGTTCATCAGATATTTTGCTAACAGACACACCTACATGTGTACGTACACACACACACAGAGAGATTATTGTCCACCTTTTGGAATAACTAATGTTTCTAACTTTATTTTATGTATTTTCATATTTAGATGGTTATGATCATTTTGGTTATAATGCTAAATATAAATCCAACACTGGTTCTGCTGGGAGGACTGGAAACAGACTGGTCCTGGTCTGGCCTGGACCGGATGTGTGTTGGCAGGAAACACAARCCCTTTGTTTGGGAACCATCTGACACTCCTTCCATCCATCTGTTAAACTGTTTTCTGACCTGAGGACTTTGTTCA